TTACAACAGTAGCCAAATGATCATTTGATCCATGATAGCCAAGTACCTGTACTCAAAACATGTCTGTCTTTTCTTCTTGAATGCAGTAAAAGATTTGACCATAATTTTCAATAGTTAAATTATGCATCTATTAATGTGCAACAATATAAGAAGCAAAATATAGAAGTTGGAGATTAACCCAGGGTATAACGCCTTCTTTATATTTGGGGTGTTAATTTAATATTAAAAGTTATCAATACAGAGATGATGATAGTTGCAATAACTTCAGATGAGGTTTATCCTGGTTATGATTAATTTCTCTGTATTTTCACCACTACAGACTGTCATTTGATCCAACTATTGAGAGTTTTTTTTTTAACATTGTCTTAAAGGTCTATCAGTGCTTTTTTTGTGGTGAAAAAAGTAAAATCACAAAAATACTGAACGCTGAGGAAAAGTCAAAACTGAAAGTCCCTAATCAAATGGCAAAATCAAAAGATAATGAGTAAATGCATTTTTTTTTGGTTCTTCGTTAAAAAAAAAGATGTCATTTAAATTAAACTTTCAGATTTATAATGAAAATTTTTCTAAGACATTTAAATTAAAATTTAAGATTTATAGTGAAATAATAATTTTTCTAAAATTTTTACATTTTCGAAGCATTGTAGTTGTCAGATTATAGAATAACATAGTACTTGAAATTGATTTAAACTCGTAGTCTAGTGCATGCAAAGTTCCGAAGCAAAACATTCTTTATCTTCAGAGTTTTGGTGTAGACTTAACAAATATCAAATGATCATTTCAGAAATACATTATGCTTGGAGCGCTGCGTGTCTTTACTAACATATAACAAAGTTGCTTATTGGTGTTTAAGTAGTAGGGTTGGTTATATCTTCTGTTTGTTTCAGTTGTTCTTTGGATGGTTCTTTGGTTTTTAGGTATTTAGGGTGTGGTGTTTACCATTCGAAGGAATCTATATATGTAATTCTGAAATGAAAAATATTTGATATTTCTAGTAAAAAAAAAAATAATCAAATGTTTGAGCATAAAGCTGCTTTGAACTTTGAATCTGTACGATTTTCATACTTTCTTTAATTTCTTATTTTCAAAATTTAAAATGAATATCTTCGATCAAAATCAAAATCTAAATTGTATTTGACATATTATGATGAAATGGAAAACTAGAAAACATATCCTCGTAAATTCAGTTGAATTCAGGGGAAGTACGTGGAAAATGATCCCAAAAGTTTTTTAGATATACTTTATCTTCTTCAAAATTGTTTCTGGGTATCTACATCTTTAAAGCACTGATCGCTATTAAGATAATAAAGAAGTAAAAATACATTTTTATAACAGTCAAGCCATAACGAAAATTCTGCCATACAAAAAAGAATTTGGATGTTTAATCTACATTTATTATAGAGTTATTAACATAATCGCAAAGGTTATTAATTCTAACATGACTGAAAGCTTGTACAAGTCTTAATATTTGGTGAACAATAATAAATTTCTATGATATATATATTATTATCACTATTTTACTGAATTTTCCTTTGATCTTACTGATAATTTCCTTTCTCAGCATAGTAGAAAGATATGGAAAGTATCTCTAGAAACTAAGGCTGCACGTGCCATTGTCAATGTAAATTTCAACGTCCTCATAAGCAAAATAGCGATAAACAAATTATCATTGGTCATCTCAACTTGATTGTTTTTCTCACTCTCGGGAGAAAATCAATCTGGCTGAGATGACCAACGAAATTTATAATGATTTCCAATACCCTAAAAACTTCATTTTGAGTTATCTGAAACTATCATCATCTCCAAGTGAAGAGTTATCTAACTTATCAATCCCGATATCTTACAGTAGTTATCTCCCTTTGCTTCAAGCTTCTCAACCTTGGGTTAATTTTCAACTCTCACCTTCAACACTAGGTTTTCATCCACAGATTCCAGACATTTAATGATAACTTCATTATTATGAGACCATAATTGACAACTGGTATTAATGTTTTAATTTTACTTGTTAGTCCCATTTAACAATTGCTCATCGTAATTTGTAAAATTAAATTGTCTTGAGTTTAAGCATTTCTTTGTAAAAATTTCCTGTTTAATAGAAAATTAATCATTTTAACTTCCCAAGCCATTCTGTGATCAATATATTAAAGGATAATTTTGTCAAGCTTCTTGAAACAATTTTTCTTTTTTGCAATCAAAAGTATTGACAGTGAGCAGGATCATTTCAAGATCACAAAAAAAGGAGCTGAAAACTGGTCTATTTTATTCTATTTATCATGTGTACATGAAAAGGAGTAGATTGTACAACACAAAAATTTCAAAGTTTGTTGAAATATAGCTCATTTTATACAATTTAGATCTTTTATTGAAAAAGGTATTAGACTGATCTTAACCCTATCATACCGTTTGAATTACAACATAAATTAATTTGCTCCTTGGTATCAAACCATTCTATCTTTTTCAAATTTGGTAATTACAATATAGGTAAAGCACTTGCCATCATAAAATACTTTAAAAAAATAAAATAAGTAAAACCCAATTATCAATAACTGACTGCAGCTATTCTTCATTGGATCCTTTTTGAAACTCATGGCCAGACAAAGAGTTATCTAAGAGCTTGACTCTTTAACAGGGATCCAACTTTAGCCTCATTAGTTCAAAGGAGTTTTCCATTAGTCCATAATAATTAAGAAATAATTGTTGCAAGCTATACTTTATTGTAGTTTTAACATGGGAAGGCATTATATACGTGATTATTTTTGCCTGAGCTATAGCATACAATCAGTTCTGTTAACCAAGCAGTTTTAGATTTATATTAGACCCTGTTTCAGACTTTGGGGATTTAATAACTAATAAAGTTAAAGATAACCAGACTATTTTAGATTTAACTGGTAATCTGTTTTCATTTCCCGGTAGCAAAAAAGAGCTGATTCCTGTAAGTCTGTATATTGGCTGCTTCTGGTTCTTATCCATTTAAGGAACCAATGATTCCGGAGAGTGCAGTAACCTTGCCTCAGTCCATTATTGTCAAGATATCAGTGATTTTCCTTTTTTCTGACAAAAGTCATTGGAAGTAATCTTACATAAAACAAATTTTGATATAACCAATCAAAAATGCTATCAAAAATAATCTGGGAACAAAAAATTTTACTTTTTCAATTGTAAATTTTGCTACTATTTTTCTTTCAAGTATAAAGCTAAAGTGAAAAGTAAAAATCTATTTTATTGAAGTATTACGTGCCATTTGAGTTTTGAAATTAATTTAAATTATAAAGTTTTGAAATTAATTTAAATTATAAAGTATTGAAATTAATTTAAATTATAAGGTATTGAAATTAATTTTTATTATAAAGGATCAGTATTTATATCATTTCTTTGAGTTCTCAATGTTTTCTTTCTAAATTTTTTTATTAAATCTAAAGATTTCATACTTGATACATGTAATATCATTTTGCATCATATTTGTATTTTTTAATTTCAGCTTCGTTTTCTTGTACCACTGAAACTTCACAGAATAATTGTGTACATTTTGAAGTTGTGTACCGGCTTATATGAAATTGTGTAAGGAATTTCCCCCCATTTTTCCCTTAATTCTGATCTTGATGATTGTTTTCCAAAATTTTCAAAGATGGTACTGATTTTGTATAATCAACTCCTGCAGTTTTCAATCTCAATCTGTTTAACTTCACACAATGATTGTACAAATATTTAAGTTGTCCACTTGGTACTATGGAATTGTTTGATAATTTTTTTCCTGACTTGGGAACTAAGTAATTTTTCATCAAAGGTAAAATAAATAGTTTTTCACCCATATCTTTTGGAATTCACAGAGAGTTTGCAAATCTATAGAGGCTTTTACAAATTTTGGGACTATACATGACTACTATGTACATGAGTAGTAAACCTTGAAAATGAGATATTTTTTTTATTAAACTATGCTTCAAGAAATTTAAAAAATTTTGATTTATATGTGTTTATTATACTATTACTACACTGTACTTTTTTTCTTACATTTGTATAAGTATTTTCATATCAGATGTCTGGTAACTTATATAAAAGCTATTATCTAGAGCTCTGTAAATAAAAAAAAATGTAAACATAGTTCTAAAATATACTTTTAATGAGTGGAAGAAATTGTGGGGTACAGAATACATTTCGTAAATTATCAAAATACAAGTTACCTGTTTAAAAGCATGTCTGGTATTTTTACAGTACTTTTTAAATGAATTTAATAAATTATTTGTATTTTAAATTGAGAATTTCTTCCGTTTCCATGATTGGAAAAATAATGTGAGATGCCTTGGAACATTCTGGTGACTATTGTACTTTTTATAATGTACAATGGAAAGGACATTTCATTACTTAGATAAAATGGATTCAGTGGACTGATTAGCATAAAAAACTATGATGGAAAACCTTTGAAAGCAGCCAGGATAGCAGCTCCAAGGAAGATGGTCAAATAAATCTTCAACCAAGTCTGAGGCTTTACCAAGAAATTACGAAGGCAAGTTTATTGAAGCCAAATACTTGTATACATTTTCTAAAAATATTCGACAAGAAGTGCATATTAAAACAACACGCCAGCTTTTCGATCAAATTATTTAAATCTTCAAGGGGAGACAAGTACAATTAACAGCAAGATTTGTTCATTCAATGGGATATAACTGTTAAATTTGCACATCACTTTTGTGCAGTTAAATTCCAAACAAAAACCTTTGACTTGTTTTATTTTTATTATGTCAAGTTTTCTGTTTAGTCAGGTTAATAGTTACTCCTTGCTATAGATCAATGACATTTTGTATTTATTTGCATTACTAACAAATTATCGAATTAATTAGCAATGTTGCTAAATCATCAGATGTTTTTCATTTTCCGCTGCTAGGCGAGACATCTCTGTCAACAGTTTATCTTACAAACTTGTGTTGATACTATTGTGTACATTTTGACTTCATATTTATAGAGAAATGGATTTGTAAAATATATAATGTGTCTTTTTTAATTCTTTTTAGGTTCTTCTGTGATATGTTTTCATGGTGTGGGAATAAGACTTGGTGGTCTAATACAGCTAATACGAAGGTATGTACCAGTATGTAAGTCCTGTTTTGAAAAAAAAAGTATTATAAAATGTATTTGGAAATAGCATGTGCTCTAAGCGTGAAGGTTTGTAGGAGTTTGGTAAGAAGTCTTTGCTTTCTTTAATTGCCTTTAAAGGAGTAAATTTAATTATCTGATTTGATTATGTAAAAGTTTGTTGGGATGCTGGTTTGCTGTTGTCAACTTCTATTACATATTTATAGACTTTTATTTAATTTGCCACTGGACATTTAGCAACCAACAATCAAATGAATCAATCATTCAAAATATGGAATATACATACAGTATATAAAAAATGATCCTTTTAAACAATCTTGAATGACTAATCATTTTATTTTTCAGGTTAGCATTACAGCTTGTCTGTAAAGATTGAAGCTGGGAGTGGGCATTGGAGCTGACTTTTATGGTAAGAACCAATACAAAAAAAACAATATGTAAAAAAAGAAATATGTTAGACACCTACCATTGACTTGTTTTTCATCCTTTTCTGCTAATAAAGACTGGTAGTTCAAAAAATATATCAGCAAATCACTTGACTTTTAAACAAAGTAAGAGAAAGGTTTTATGAATCATGATTATAATGACCAGTTATTTATTATTTTGCATTTGATATTGTTTCAATTTTCAGATTTTGACAATTACGTTTAATTCTGTATATTTCTTTTTCAGGTAACTGTGGCTGCATAAAAGGGCTATGTGATTTTACTGTAACAGTAAAGAATGTAATTCAGACTATTTTTGTGTATGTTTGAGAAAATGTTTATAATTTTTACAAAAAAAAAAAAAAAATGTGTACAGGTTCTCCATTTTCAACAAGATTGGAAGTTGTAGGTTAATATGTCTTTGAAATTTCAAAAACTACTTTCTATTTTCTGTTCATACTCATGTCTAGACAAAACGCTTCCAGTAGTTTAAGAGTGGAGAATCTAAAAAAAAAAAGAAAAGGAAAAAAAAGAAAAAGACAAAAATGTTCAATTATTGAAATGTTTTTTATTTTTGCAAATTGTAATATATTTTTTCACCTTTGTGTCATTTTAGCTGAGTTTATAACAAAGGGTATTTTATTTTAAGAATATTTTACAAGAAGCATAGTTGAAGAATATCTTGATGAAAGTAGATTGATTGATTTTTGGTATTTAACACCACTTTCAGCATGATATGCTATATCTTGGCTGCCAGTTTTTATTTGTGGAGACAGCCTGGTGAAAACATCCCCTTCAACAGAGAAACTGACAACTCTAGTCAATTAAGATTGACATTAAACACACCTACAATGTGAGGGTTCAGAGTGGTGACAGGCTAGTGATACAGTAGTTGAACTACTTTGACCATTCAGCCACTATTACTCCATCCGCACTAAATATGTTATTGAAATGTGTTGAATTTTTGTAATTTAATTATTTTTTTAGTTTGATTTATACTGTTTATGTTTTTTGTTATATATAACAAAGATGTGGAGTTCTAACAGGGTGAAATTTAGGTCAAAGGGAGGTAATTTATTATACTGTGTTTGACTTCAAATACTTGAAATTTTCCTCAATGTTAGATTTTTATTTACTTGGATACTCACATTTATGCACTTTTTTACATATCAGATGTTTTCTAGATAATAGAAATTTAGGGTGGAAAAATTATGTGTCACTTAAAATAATTATGTGAAATTTTTCAAAAAGTATATTAATTGAAAGTGCATCTGATATTTTTTATGTATGTTACTTTATTTTCTAAAAACAAATGGACACAACATAGAATGACAATAAGATATTGAGAAAAACCACCTTGTCAGCCAGGATAGCAGCTCTTAGGAAGATGGTCAATTAAATCTTCAACCAAGTCTGACTCTTTACCATGAAAATAGGGAAAGGCAAGTTTATTTTAGCCAGATCTTTTAAGATAACAGACCCTTCTGAAATATTGCATTTAAAACACCATTGATGAATTAATTTACCAGTTTAGTATTTAAAGATACAAGATACATGTACAAGATTTTCTATTAAAATATCAATAATGAATCCTGAAAATAGTCATTAAACCAAGAAAAGACCAGTACAATTTAAAACACGATTTTGCATTCAATGGGAGATAATTTTGTAAAATATTCAGATATTTTTTGTGCAGTTAAATTTAAATCTGACGTTTTTTTACTTTTCTATCTTTTATATTGATTAAAAAAAAAAGATTTTATACAATTGTCTACCTGCAATAAGAAATCAGAACAATATTTAGTAAATTTTAGGTTATCGGTAACACATAAATTGATTTACAAAATGTATAATGTGTTGATTATAATTTCATTTCAGCTTCTTTCTGAGACATGTTTTCATGGTGTGGGAATAAGACTTGGTGGTCTTATACAGCTTATACAAAGGTATGTACCAGTATGTTAGTCCTGTTTTGGAAAACTCAAATGTAATATAAATATTTTATGGAAAAACAAGATTTGAACGCTTAAAAGATTTTTTACAGGAATCTACTCTTATTATTATATCAGAACCAAATAGATAAAGATAGAGTAAAGTTTAGGATCTGAATTGTTTACATAAAAATGTGTTGGCTTGTTGGATTGCTGTCTCATCCATATGTTCTTGACATATATATAACACATTTTAAGACTATTTCTATTTAATGATTTGCCATTGGACCTTAAGCAACCAACAACCAATCATTCAATCTATTCAATAAACACACATAATACCAACAAAGAACCTTTTAAACAGTTTTTATACACCCGTTTACGGGACTTATTATGGTATACCGTTGTCCGTCTGTACGTCCGTCGTCAACATGTCCGACATTAACTCAAAAACGCTTTAACCAATTTGCACAAAACTTTGATGAATTGTTTATATCTATTGACATGAGCTCCCTTTCTTTTGATATAAATTTTAGATTTTACTTTTCCGAGTTGTGGGGTTTTATTCATTAAAAAAAGGGTTTTTTTTCCAGTTTTCGGACAATAACTCAAGAATGCTTTCACCAACTTGCAAGAAATTGTGGTGAATTGTTTATATCTATTGACATGAGCTCCCTTTCGATTTTTATAAATTTTAGATTTTACGTTTCCGAGTTACAGGGTTTTATTAATGAATTATCATTTTATATTTCAGGTTAGCATCACAGCTTGTCTGTAAGGATTGAAGCTGGGAGTGGGCATTGGAGCTGACTTTTATGGTAAGAATTAATACATAGATTTATGAACTTTTCATCCAAGAGCATTTTAAAGCCCAAGATTTTTGTTAGGCACAGATGTAAATCTTACATATTAATGTATTCTTTACTTATAGTTGAATAAACAATTTAGATGGAGATATAAAGATATATAAGGGAAGTCAAAAAGTATAATGTATAATGCGAAATCTTGGGATTTCAGTTTTTTGTTATCAATAGTTGTCCCCATATATGAAAATATGTAAGTGTGGTATGTATGCCAATGAGACAGCTATCAACCAGAGACCAAATGATGTGGATGCAACTAAATTTCACCCTATGCCTTCAACAATGAGCAAAACCTATATTGTATAGTTAGCTTAAAGGTTCAACATGACTAAATGTTAAAAAATTCAATCAAGTATGTTAATAGCCTGATATACTATATATAGCTATAAAACAATGTTAAAAAGATATTTGTCAAGACATCAGCCAATGACTTGTTTTTCATCCTTTTATTGCTAAGAAATACTGGTACTTTAAAATTTATGTCAACAAATCTCTTTATAACAAAGAAAAAGAAATGTTCTATACATTATAATTGTAATGCTCAGTTAATTATAATTGTTTTGCATTAAATATTATTTCAATGTTCATGAGTAATGTATATTTCTTTTTCAGATAACTGTGGCTGCATAAAATGGTTGTGTGATATAACTGCAACAGTAAAGAATGTAATTCAGACTATTTTTGTGTATGCTTGAGAAAATGCTTAAAATTTTTTTACAAAAAAAAAAAAAAAGATATGTAAAGATTCTCCATTTTCAACAAGATTGGAAGTTGTAAGTTAACTTGTATTTGACATTACAAAAATTCTTTCTATTTTCTGTTTATACTCATGTCTAGTCAAAACACTTCCAGCAGTTTAAGAATGGATAATGTAAAAGAAAAAGAAAGAAAAAAATAAAAAAAAATGTTCAATTATTGAAATGTATTTTTTTTTGCAAATTGTAATGTATATATTTTTGCCATCTTTTTGTTATTTTAGGATTTGAGATACTTTCAAATTTTACAAGTTACTTTATACATGTAGTTAATGCAATTAAATCTGCCGATGTGAATATTCCCATTAAATTTCTTAGCAAAAATTTTAATTATTTTGTTTTTTTTAGCAACGTTTCAAAATACCTTACCATAGCAAATGCCTCTCTAGTATAAACTAAAAAGATGAATAATGGTCTGCAGAAAATATATACCCTTACAACCTTTTCTTTCATGTTAATTTTAATATCTTTAAGATATGTGACAAGGGTGCTCTAATGCAGAGGAATTTATGAAGTTAAGAAGTCCGAAATATATTTTTTGCACTTTTTTTGTCATTTTTAGCTGATTTTGGTTTGTAACCAAGGTGATATTTTTTAAAGAATAATTTTACAAAAGGCATAGTTGAAGAACATCTTGTTGAAATTGGATTGGTTGATTTTTGGTGTTAAACACCACTTTAACATGATTAACTATAATATTAGCTGTAAATTTTTATTTGTGGAGACAGCCAGAGTGCCTGGTGAAAACATCACCTTCATCAGGGAAACGGGCAAACCCTAGTCAAATTAAGAATGAAGTTACACATTTCATGTGAGGGTTCTCAGTGTTGACAGGCTAGTGATACAGTAGTTGAACTACTTATAGGACCACTCAGCCACCATAAGTCGATCAGTACGAAATATTTTATTGAAATGTGTTAGATTTTTGTTATCAATCTATTTTTTAATTTTAATTGTGCTATTTTATTTATTTTGTTTAATATAACAAGGATGTGGAGTCTGAACAGGGTGAAATTTGGGTCAAAGGGAGGCAATTTATTATGCCCCTGTTTATAACTCCACATACTTAAAATTCCCTCAATGTTAGGATTTTCATCTACTTGGATATTCATGTTTGTACATTTTTTTTAAAATATCAGATGTATACTAGCTAATATTGACTATTATTTAGAGCTCTGTAATAAAAAAAAACAAAATGTAAGCAGAGCTCTAGATAATAAGTATGCAGGGTCGGAGAAATCTTGGGTCATTAACAATTGATTTGCTGAAATTTTCAAGAAAGGGGATTTATTGGAAATGCATCTGATATATTTAATGTATAAAACTATATTTAAAAAAAAAAGATGTTAAGATGATGAGGAGAGCCACCTTGTCAGCCGGGAGAGCAGCTCTAAGGGAGATGGTCAATTTAATCTTTACCAAGTCTGAGGCTTTACCATGAAAAATATGTGGTAAGTTTATATATTCCACAAATTTTATGGTAATAATATATATATAGGCATTTAACATTATTTTTTAAGGGTTCTTTTTTGTCAGTGTTTGATTTTTAGAGTATCTAGTCTGACATTTGTTTTCTGTCTGGTATCGAATGAGCTGTGTTGGATAGAAACCAACTGTATGCAATTTATTATCAATGAATTTGTAAACTTATTTGGGTCGAACAAATTTTTATGCAAAGTCTGTAACTGTTTGAAAATTGAATTGATATAGAATCATTTTCATAAAAGCGTGGACAAGACGATTTCTTGGCGCTCTTATGTTATCTATTGACTGGGTCAGATAAGGTGAAAGTTTGTAACGCCCACTTGTCACATTGAATGTGTTATAGACATTTAAACTGGGGTCCCCAAAGGTTCTAAATGCCTACATCAAATAGTACGAATTACTAGCAGAGGACTAAACCTTGTGTGTTGATCTAAATGTTGAATAATTATTTTCTTTTTTTCTTCTCTTGTGCCTACATGTACTTTGCTCTTTTATTCTATTTAAATCCTTATTGGAAGGCCTCTGACAGACTGAGTGAGCGTAAAATCACTGTTATCGGTAGCCAATGGCAAACAAGTTAAAGGTACTGTAAATTCAGAAATTATTGCGTGCAATTATTAATAAATAAATTTGGTGTATTTACTTTCTTCTGATTGGTTAAAAGTATCTTTTATTTCAATGTTGTCAATTTTTATGGCGACACGCCCACTCTGACGACGTATATTCATACGCCAACATCCGTGTACGTTGTTATGGTTAATATAAATAACATAAAAAGTTCTTTGAGCCTTATTTTTGATAGAAATTTATTTATAATGAATGGCTATAATTTATTTTGAATTTATTGAACCATAAAATTAATTTTTGACTCTTCACATTTTACATAATCCGCTTCTCGGATTATTCAATGTGAAGAGCCAAAAATTAATTTTATGGTTCAATAAATTCAAAATAAATAATAACCATTCATTAATTGCGATTTTGTAATTTTAGACTAAAATGCGATTTTAATTTATGCGATATTGAGAAAAATCCTGTTTAATTCACATAAAAAATTTCAAAATGCTAGATTAAATTATTGCCAATACAACCATGTTGCATTTTTCACAATAATGAAAACATTGCAATAGTTTCTGAATTTACAGTAATTGAGTTAGTATTATTACCAACATAAGTATTGGGGTTGTCTACACTGTTATGAAAATGATTTTAAGAACCATCAAAAGAGAACAAAACCATCCGATTTTGTAATTGAATATTGCAAAATCATTGTCTTATACATATACGTCCACTTGCACAAGGTCAGTTTCTATCTCTAGCAGTTTAAAGTTTATATAGTGAAGATGATAATGTATAACAGGTTTTAATAAATGAAACATAGCATTATTTTTTTAGTCTTCTTAGAGACCGATTGATCTGTAAAACAAGTAATTATTTTTTTATTTTTTTTATTTTTAGGTTGTTATAATGATGATGTTTTCATGGTGTTGGGAGTAAGACTTGGATGTCTGATATTGTTAACATGTTGGTAGGTAATCAAGCATCTTTTTAGTAATATAATATTTGAAATCAATTTCATAAGGTTCTTTAGTACCAAAAAAATAATTTTACACTAATGAGATACCGGTTGATTTTTTTTGGTAAATATAAAACTGAGTTTATAATTCAGAATACCAAATATTTTTTCCATGATTTTTTGTTATCCTATTGCAATTTTAAATTTAGTACATGTGTAATAATATTTTTTAGGAAAGTTTAGTATAACTGACTACTTTTATATTCCAGGTTATCATCAGGTTTCCATTGGGTTACTTGCTGGGATAAAGCTGTTATAAGGTGAGAACTTATTCATCAACATACAACTTTAATGTGTTTATGTTATAGTGTGATGAATGTCACTAAATAGATTTCAATATATATATTTTTTTTTAATTTACAATTAAAAAAAATCAGTATTCAATCTTTTCATTTTAAAATAATGTACCCTTTAAAGCAGATACTAGATCTGAAGAAGATATATGAAGGGGAGATAACAATAAAATCGGATATTTTTGATACTATATATTTTTGAGTAATCTATATAAGTAATAAACAAATTGTTTAACATACACTGATGTCTGTTTCTTTATTCCCGTTAGATTATTTTAAGATTAAGAATCAACAATTGAAATTTAACTTTTTTTCTTTTTCAGTCGAAAGAGTTGCTGTAGCTGCCTTCCTTGTATGGTAAAATCCTCAGACTACAATCCTGCAAACCATTAGATGAACTGTTGCTATCTTTTGTAAAAAAATCAGCAGATATTTGTCTTATAAGTAGAATGAATTATAAATGCAATTAATTTTTAATGCTTTATTATTCAAATTATAAATATTTATTTCATTATTTTTTCTTGCATTCAATTATTGTTTTGTGATTGAAGAAATATAAAAAAAAAACTGTGAAATTATTGTTATTTGAGAGGTCCCAAAGGTATGATGTATGGTTTCACAAGATACCCATAAGACTTGCTTCAGTTTACATATATTTTTTAAGTTATATACACTGGTTAAGAATTATAAGTCCTTTGTGAAATTATTTTTTCTGGTTATAAACCTATTAAGTAGGACTTTGATGGCCAAACACTAAAAGGGAATAAAACAAATCCCCTATTAAACAATTTAAGTACTGAGTTTTTGGTGCAATATGAACTAGAAATAAAAATGTTTAGTTAGATGGTTTGTTTTGACTCGGCATTCTTTACATTCATACAAATTAATGGCTGTCGGTTTTATTTATTGGTTTTGTTTATATATTGTAAATGCATTATTCAGCATCTGAGACCACTCAAGTGAAAATAATTACATAGTTTTTGCAGTTTGTCATGATATTTTCTCATTTTTGTGTGATTGATTTCTAAATTTTTTCTCATTTATGATTATTTATATTTTAATGTTTGATTTTGAGGCTTGTACTCAGCTTCTAAACAATTACCTCCACATGTATAACCAGGATCCTGTAAAAGAAATTTTGATTTTGAAGGATGGATGGATAATTAAAAATGCAAGATTTTTTTAATGTGCTAGTTCATAATGTAAAAGTCTGCACAAGACATCTAACCCTACCTGAACACATTATTCTGATTCCAGCTGACCAGTCTTTGCTCCTACTCCTAATTGCTAAATGCTTAGCAGGGGAGCATCAAATACCAATTTACAATTCTTTGATATGACTCAGGGCAGGACCAAATCCCATGCCCATCTGCACTCATGTTGAGCATAAAAAGGTTATTAAAAAAGATTTGTCTGTCTGTTTGTCCATCATCATCTCTCATCCACAGCTTATAAACTATTGGAAGGTTTTCATTTAAACTTTCAGATTATCTTCTGTATCTAATGGCTGTGTGTATTTTATTTTATTATAATGAAATTTTAGGGTTCTCAATTGTAATGAATGGACCTCCTAAGTATTTGAAAAAAAGGGAAAGAAGCTTAATTCTCATACCACCATTTTATCATGTGAAGGATAGGTTGGTTCAAATATATTTGTTTTTAATCATGTTTTTAGTATCTCATTATGACAAAATTTTAATGACTTAAATTCAAAATAAATTTGGGGTTCACACTGATATATATTACCACTGTAGCTTTAATGTAAATTTTATAAGGCTTTGCTATAACAAGATTTGTGTTTTATCTTGTTTTATGTGATTTTAGTGGTTTTTATGTGATTTTATTTGTTTTTACTGTCAAATCTTGTTATACCAAGCCTTAGTATGATTGAGTTTATATATTTTGATTATACATGCAATTCAAAATATAAATTTATATAATGAGATCAGACATTTATTATGCTTTTAACTCTTCTTAGTGGATAAAATAGAAAAATGAATGAACATAAATATTGAAGTGGTCATTGAAGATTGACCAAATTACAAGATTTATAAATGCAGAATCTTGCTATAACTAAATCTATGTTCTTATCAGCTGAACCAACCTATCCTTCAATATGAGTAATAAAATTTTATAAATGGAAAAGTCCATTCTTCGATTGGGGAACCTTTGGATGTGAAAAAAATATACACAATGCCAACAGATACTGAAGATTATTTGAAAGTTTAGACAAAAACAATTCAATCCTTTAATTGTGATTGGAAGTTGTAGATGGATGAGCAAACAGATGATATACCGGGGTAATTGCTTACTATGGCACATATCCTAAAGGATATGGACTAATGGTATTGGTTTTGCTCATGGTTGAAGGCTGTAGGTGACTGATAGTTGTTAAATTCGATGTCATTTGGTCTCTGGTGGAGAGTTGTCTCGTTGGCAATCATATCTCCTCTTTTTATTCTATATGAAATAATTACTTATTACTTCCTGGGCAAAAAGTTCTGGTTCCTAGAAAATAATAAAAAAAAATATTTATATCATACATGTATTGTTGAATAACTATCCTACTTTGATATAAAGAATTGACTTTGGTTAGAAATTGGGAGGAATTATAAAGAAATTTTATATACAATATAAGAGCTTGGGGTTATAAATGTTTAATGAAATGCAGATAACTCTTTCCTTGGTGATCTAATATTTTTTGCACAGATCACGATATTAGTTTATTTAAATAACCCAGTAAATAAAATTGAGTACACCACTTAAATGAATTTGATTCATGTATTTTTATGCATTTTTTTATCTTAGTATTTACCATTGTATTCCTTGTTATATTTGTAATTGCCTCTTTGTATGTGACAAACTGAGGATTCATATATTTTATGGAATTATATAAATTTATTTTAAGTTTGGTATTCAAAAGTATTGGAAAGCACCAAGTTTAATATTGAGCAAAAAAAATATTCCTTTAAGACCTAAGGATATTAAAATTTAAGACATGTATCTCAGAACAGAATTGATTTTCTAAATTCTATTTAAATAGCTAGTCTGGGAACTGGTATCAAGAAACTAAAAAGAATCCTCAGCGCTGTCAGTTATTTTGTATAATTGTAATATTTAACCAAAGATACCTTACCCATGATGCAGATCCTTTTCCTCCTTTTACTTATAAAGGGACTAAAAACTTATTATTATTACAATTTCTTTGGTATTTGTACACACTTGATGGAGCAGAATGGGTCTGGTTTCATTTGGGTATTTTATATTATGATGCATGATAATGATATAAATAAATAGGTAAATAAAAATTTAATTGAGAAAACCTATCTTATATTTTATTTGAGTCTGAATGACAAATAAAGGGGGAAGAGGTTTCTGTGGTCAAGGGTAACACACAGCTGATTTATTGTATGGTATGGACGAAGTTGAAAAAGTGAGACTTGGGCATGCTTTTTCCATAAGCAGCAGCTTCAACAATGTATTTGATTGTGATAAGTTCAAGTTAAAGAAAACAACTAGTGGTAGGTCAATGACATTTGGTATGCAGTTATATAAGCATTGAAACATCTTATTTCTAAGGAGATTATTTTGCTTCTCTCCCTCAGTCATAGTCCACTTAAAACTTTTAATTAGTTTACATGTATAAGTTTGTGATTAGGTCAATTGAAAGGGAACTATAGCTATAAGTGGTATGTCAATGATATTTGGTATACAGATGTATAAGCATTGACAAATCTCAGATCCATAGAGATTGTTCAGCTCCAGCCTCAGTCATGGTTTATTGACAATGTTTTGCATTATTTACATGTGATTTGTGATTAGATCAGTTTAAGATGAGTGACTAATATCTGATATTTGGTATGCAGTTGTATTGGCATTGCAAGTCTCATTTTCATAGAGATTATTTGGTCCCACTTCCTTATCATGGTTCATGGACTTTGAAACTTTCACAGTTTAACAAGGAACCAATTGATAAGTCAATGGTGTTGGGTATGCAGTTGCATAAGCATTAGCATTTCCATAGTGTTTTTATTTTGCCCTGAACCGTCAGTCATGGTTCATTGCATAGATAACAAGTTTAAATATTGCTATTTAATTTCAACATTTGCATTATACCATCAAAAACGCAAGACATATCTCTGTGTCAACAGTTTATATTTCCATCTCTTGGTATCTTTCAACATCATGTTTTGAGTTTTAAATGTCACAGAAACTTCTTTGCTAGTTTAAACAAGACTTGACACAAATGATACTTAGGAATTACATGACAGAAATGTTCATTGGACTTGCTGATTACCTGATTGGCTGCCAAGTCTTTATATAGATCTAGAATTCTAAAATGATCTAGTTTATATAAAGGCTCATCAGATACAAAACACAGGGATACAGATCTAGCAGTGGATGCTCCTGATATAAAACTTCATAATCCAGACTGAAGAAGAATGAGTTAATCCATATCTTGTATGCAGTTGCCTTATGGTCTGGTTTAATCTGGCATATGAACATTATCTTGATTCCCTTTTTAAGGGTATGTGTACATTATTTTTCTAATTAATTTGACAGTTTTTATGTGTAATAAGGACAATTAATTCTCTAATGGTTATTGCCTGTGATCTATTTCTCACATAAAGAGATATATTTTGTATCACATTGCATGGATTGGGATAAGAAAAAGGCTTACGAAAAATTTGTTAATTTGAGTCATCATTTAGGTTCCATGATTTGGTCTGTTCTCGGTCAGATTCTCTAGGTCAACAATGTATGGTGTATGTGAATATGATTGTCTGATGAGATACATCTGACCTTGGCCTTTTTTTGAAGTGTGGTCAACATTAAGTTTTTATAGACGGCAAAACTTTTGCCATTTTATAGTGGTGTGGATATGTCGTCATTGTGGTCTGTAGACACAATAACTTGAGTATAAGTGTATAGATCTCAAAGAAATAAAACCACAAGGTCCCATACCACAAAAGGAAGGTATGAATTGAATTTGGGGTTATTGCCCTAACAGTTTGGGAATAAAGGTTAAAAAAAAAAGATTTTCCGGGTTTCCAGACCATAACTTGAGAATAATCCATGGATTTCTATGAAATTATTATACAAGATTTCAAACCAAAAAGGGAAAGTTGGAATTGATTTTGGTGATTATGGCCCAAACTGTTTATGAATTAGGAACCAAACAAACACCAATACTTTGTATACATTATTTGTTTCTTGACCAATTTCAATTTCGATGAGAATCATGTATTCTTTGGGTTCTTTAATATGCTGAATCTGTTACCATGTTTGTGTATTTCTGTTTTCGAATTGGTTCACATTCAGGTCCAAAGGGTCCAAAATTAATCTAAGTTTGATTTAAACCCAAAATTGAATTCTTTGTTTTTTTTTTTTTATATAATCAAACAGTGTATTTAGATATTGGGCCTTTTATCAAATTGGTT